GGGGTCCTGCGAGGAGCTGGGCAGGATCTGACCCCCCCCCCACCTTCCCTTCCCGGCCACAAATATGCTGAAAAAAGGGAAAAACCTCAAGCAAATGAAACATCACCCAGGTTTTGGATGCCGAGGAGCTAGAGCCAGTGGAGGCTGGGAAATTCTTCAGCACCAGCATCACTGAAGCATATAAGACCAGATTATTTGTGTTCCCGACTTGCTGATGCAAGATGAAAAATACAGCAAACTGCAGCTGCTGAAATCAGCTCTTTTTTTCTCCCCTTCCCTTCCCTTTCCCCTTAGCTGAGGTTAGTGTTTTGCAAAAGGTTTTTATATTCTGGGAGCTAAAACCTGTCCGTTGCAATCAGACACAAAGCTCGGGGAGTTTGTCAGGCTCCTCCGTCGTGTCGGGAAGAGCTTCCTGGCACGAAAAGCTTCACAAATTGCAGCGATCTGAGCCTGATTGCTCCAACTCTCACAGACAGGAGCTGGGAGAAGGGGCTGGGGCATCTCACCAGGGATTTTTTATTATTAATTATTATTATTATTTAATTTTTTTAATTTTTTTTTTAGCAGCCTCAAAGGTCAAGGCCGTCCGAATCGCTTCATCTGCAGCAAAATTCAGGATTTCAGCCCAGAATAACCCAGATCTTGAACCTGACTCCCTTGAAGGGAAGGGCACAGTTTCCAAGTTGGTCCCTCACCAAGACCCGAGCCCACAGAGGGATGCAGGGGAGATGGGGGGCCACATCCTGACCCCTTCACGCCCCATGCTCAAGGGCTGCCCATCACCTTCCTCCTGGCCACAGGAACCCCCCAAGGTGATCCAGGATCCCCCCCCCACGCTGGGACACTGCCTGCTGGTTAAAATACCCCAGTCCAAAACCATCACCTTCCATCAGCAGTGATGGAAGAGCTGGTGGTTTTTATCTCCCCAGCTTGGTGACCCCTGATGGGACAGGGGCTGGTGTTCAAGGACCATTTAAACCACCAGCCCTGAGCAGCTGGAAAGAGGCAAAAAAGCCAGAAAAACGTCCCAAATGACTGTTTTCCATGCTGGACTAGGAATTTCCCCTCTCCCCCAACTCCTCTGCTTCTTTTGGGAAAGGAACCACCGTGACCTCGGGGTGGGTTGTGTCCCATGGGAGTAGCAGCCCCTTTGAGGAACATCCCCTTCCACCCAGCTCTGCATTGACCCCGGTGAGGTGGCAGCAAAAAACCTCCCCACAGAGTCCTCTCCTGGCACCCAGGGCTTTGCCCTTTATCAGGCGTGGAGCCAGGAGGCTTAATTACGCTCGCAGCCCATGTGGGGAACATTATCTCATCTCCTGTCACCCCTGGGGTGGCCGATCTGCTTCCAAGTTCAATGCCCTTCCCAGTGCCACGTGCAGATAAGGAGGACGAGCATCACTCCACGGTGCCAGCCCAATAAACACAGCCATAGATAGGAAATCCCAGGGCAGACCCCAGCCCTGCCTTGCCCGTGGGCAGGGGATGGTGGGTCACGGAGAGGGGTTTCATGCCCAGGTGGCTCCTGGGTGGAGGTTGGTGGGTGCAGATGCCCATGAGAAGGAGGACAAAGCCTCCACGCTCTATTTATACACATTCCCAGCACCTGGTGATGATCTTGGTGGCGGCTGCCTGCCAAGGCTTTGTTATTTATAAACGCAGAGGGCTTGGAGAAGCAGCAGAGAGAGAGAGAGAGAGGAGGCCCCCACCACCAGCCACCCTGCAGACCACCCTGTCCCTGCAGAATGAACCCGGAGCCGCCCGGCAAAGGGGCCACCAACCAACCAAACCCACCCTGGATGCACATGGGTTGCAAATCCCACCAGGGTTTCGCAGAAGAGCAGAGAAAACTGCTCCCCCAAGGCTGGACCAGCATCTCCAGGGGTCCAGGAGCCACACAACAGAGTATGTCAATGCCCAGCATCAGGTGGGCACAGCAGCTCCAAGTATCGAGCCTGAAGCAGGACCCTCTGAATGAGACACCCCCTCCTCCTTGCTCCGAGCCAAATCCACCCTGAATCCCTCTGACATCTCCACGTCGGCCAAAACCCACCGGCAAAGAGCCAAGAGCAGCCTGGAGCTGTGGGAGAAGGGTCAGGCCATGTCCAGCTCTAAATTGGGAAATTAGACCTACAGCAACAGGAGCTGCGACTCCCTGCCCGTGTCTGGGCAGCACTGGGGTGGAAGGACCCACAGATGCTGAAGTCAGGCAGCCAACGTCAAAGAGAAAGGGCAGCAGGTTCTCCCATAAGTCTCTTTCTACTGATGGTTTTCCTTGAACAGCTCTACTCCCCATCCTTTCCTCACGGGCCAGGGGAGGTGATGATGCCCATGCATCCATCAGGCAAAGCGTGCAGGGCCATTCCTTCATCCCTGGGGAAGATACACCAGGAGGACACTTCCAGGGGGAGATCATAGAATCATGGAATGGTTTGAATTAGAAGAGACCTTACCAGCCCACCAGCCCAGGTTGCTCCAAGCCCCCTCCAACCTGCCCTTCAACCCCTCCAGGGATGGGGCAGCCACAGCTTCTCGGGGGGACAACCTGGGCCAGGCTCTCACCACCCTCCCCCCAAAGAAGTTCTTCCCCACAGCTCAGCTCCATCTCCCCTCTTTTGGTGTCAAACCCTTCCCCCTCCTCCTAGGGCTCCCCTCCCTCATCAAGAGATGGACAGGGAGAAAACAGCAGTGAGGACCACAAACTCGTAGAAGGTTCTGCCAGAGCTCTCTCCACCCCAGAAGCCTGGGAGAAAAAAGCCAGACCCTCTCTCACTTGCGACGCAGCATCAATAGAGAAAAATCCTTATTATTTCCCCCCCTTTCCCCGAGCTCAGGTGTGAGACACAGCTCACCCCAGGTAGGTCATCGCTTCTAAACGCTTTCGCAGCTGCAAACACAAGGAGGTCAAACGAGCTGCTGGAGCGTGGCAGCAGCTCCGAGCATCCCTGGGCTCCTTCTGCAGGCTCGTAACCCTTCTCATGCCCCAGTGCTGCAGCCTGAGCAACGGAATGGGTTTTTAATGGGGGGATGGTGGAGCAAACCCACCTGCCTGAGCCTCGGGGAGCAGGACCAGAGCCCCCCAGGAGGGGAGTGGGTGGAGGGGGACCCTCTTGCAAGCCCACATCCAAGGGGTGCATCCACGGGCAGCCCCACAAGGAGAAAACAGCCAAGGTCAGGGCAAAACTCTGCAAACCAAAGGTGGGAGCAGAAAGAAATGCTGGATTTGGGTGCTTTGCAGAGCAAAGACCCCCATCTGGGGCCGGGCAGCATCCACGGTGCTGCTGGAAAAACACCTTCCCAACTGGGAGCAAGCTCCCAGATCATCTCCCTCACACTTTCCCCTTCGCTGCTTCACCTCTTTCTGGGGAAATTTCATTTTATGCAGGAACAGGCTTATAATTAACGCTCGGCAGCTCCACGGCCTCGCCGAAAACACCTTCCCAACTGGGAGCAAGCTCCCAAATCATCTCCCTCACGCTTCCCCCTTCGCTGCTTCAACCTCTTTCAGGGGGAATTGCATAATTTCATTTCATGCAGGAACAGGCTTATAATTAATGCTCGGCAGCTCCGTGGCCTCGCCGACCAGGGATGGGGCAGCCACAACTTCCCTGGGCAACCTGTTCCAGGGCCTCACCAGCCTCACAGCAATGAACAGGTTGCCCAGGGAGGTTGTGGAGTCCCCTTCTTTGGAGATTTTCAAGCCCCACCTGGATGCTCCTGAGTAACATGCTCTGACAAGCTCTAGGCAATCCTGCTTCAGCAGGGGAGTTGGACTAGATGATCTCTATGGTCCCTATGGTCTCTACTCTGCACTGGTGAGGCCACAACTAGAGTACTGTGTCCAGTTCTGGGCTCCCCAGTTCAAGAGGGACAGGGAACTACTAGAAAGAGTCCAGCGAAGGGCAACAAAGATGATTCAAGGATTGGAGCATCTCCCTTATGAGGAGAGGCTGAGAGAGCTGGGACTCTTTAGTCTGGAGAAGAGAAGGCTGAGGGGAGACCTTATCAATGCCTACAAGTATCTCAAGGGAGGGTTGAAGGAGGAGGGAGCCAGACTCTTTTCAGTGGTTCCCAGTGAGAGGACGAGGGGCAACGGGCACAAGTTGGAACAGAAGAGGTTCCACTCAAATATGAGGAGAAACTTCTTCACGGTGAGGGTGACAGAGCCCTGGAACAGGCTGCCCAGGGAGGGTGTGGAGTCCCCTTCTTTGGAGGTTTTCAAGACCCACCTGGATGCTGTCCTGAGTAACATGCTCTAGCTCTAGGCAATCCTGCTTCAGCAGGGGAGTTGGACTAGATGATCTCTATGGTCCCTTCCAACTCTAAAAATTCAGCGAAATGAATTTCTTTCTAGAGTCTTGTCTAAATCTCCCCTCTTCTGATTTAAAACCCTCACCCCCATCCACAGGTCCCTCTCCGACACCGGGAAGGGCTGGGAGAAGCCCACATGGAGCCCTTACCGGCAGAGATGATCCGTCCGGCACGTGTTGCGCAGGTCCAAGCAGTTGGGTTTCTCCTTGTCCTCGTAGGAGCAGGAGGGGACGATGGTTTGTCGCCGGCGCTCGGCGCAAGCCTGGTCCTTGCAGGAGCAGAAGAGGAGGCGGTAGGTGTACTCGCTGGGGACGCGGTCGAAGAACTGGCGCAGGGCCTTGTGGCACTTCCTCCGGCTGCAGGACTCGGTGGCCGAGATCTCCCTGCTGCAGGTGGAGATGTAGCCCGAGCGCAGGCGCTTGCAGTTGTCGTTCAGGTTGCAGGCTTTGGCTGCGTCCAGGCAGTGGTTGCTTTTGGAGTTGGTGGCGGGGTCCATTCCTGCCCGGAGAGAGAGAGAGAGGGGGAGAAGGGATGAGGCACGGGAAGGACAGGGACCTGGTGGAACAGATCCAGAGGAGGCCACCGAGATGCTGGGAGGGCTGGAGCCCCTCTGCTTTGAGGAGGGGCTGAGAGAGTTGGAGAAGAGAAGGCTCCAGGGAGACCTCAGAGCCCCTTCTAGTCCCTCAAGGGGCTCCAGGAAAGCTGGGGAGGGACTCTTGATGAGGGAGAGGAGCCCCAGGATGAAGGTTGATGGTTTGACCCTGAAAGAGGGGAGATGGAGCTGAGATGTGGGGAAGAACTTCTTCGGTGGGAGGGTGGTGAGAGCCTGGCCCAGGTTGGCCCGAGAAGCTGTGGCTGCCCCATCCCTGGAGGGGTTGAAGGGCAGGTTGGAGGGGGCTTGGAGCAACCTGGGCTGGTGGGAGGTGGCCCTGAAGGGGGTGGAAGTCGATAGTCTTTAAGGTCCCTTCCAACCCAAACCATTCCCTGATTCTATGAAGATGGTACTGAGATGCCCTCAAGCTGGGGAGATGCTACAGGGAAGGGGATGGCATTAATGCCACCCCTGGTACATCTGGCACGTCCTGTCCCTACCTGGCAGCGGGGAGGGGGCTGGACGCACCACTATGGTCCCCCCCCTTCACCCCACACAATTTAGGGGTCCTCCTCCAGCGTGGAAGCAGTTAATGCACATCAATTGCGGCAGGGGACCTGGTCAAACAGCCTTCAGTGCATAATTCATGCCATGAATTTGCAATATTTTTTCTTTCTCTCTTGTCAATTATTCAAAGAATACTTATTAATTATTCAGCCTCCTCCAAAGCAGAATAATCTCCCGAGTCGCACAGGGTCCCCTCAGCCTCTGGGTCCTCTCCTGGGGCTCCCCCAAAAAATGGGTCACCTCCAGCCAGCTCCCACCCAGGGCTGAAAACTGCCTGAAAACGGGCTGAAAACTGAAAAATGGGGACATGGTTGCCACCAGAGCTGGCCACCAGCCCAGGGCACCAGCCACCAGCTCCTCACCAGCCACATCCCGCATCCGTCCCAGGAATCCCAGCCGTCAGCAAATAAAGAAGGAGAGGATGGATGAAGCCAAACCACCGGGTGGGAACAAATGCTGAATTTCCCTTTTTTTTTTGTCAAAAATGATGGATCGCTCTGGGCAGCCCAGGTGCTATTTTAGAAGCCACCTGAACTGAACCAGCCTCCGCTGCCCCGATGTCCTCCCCTCCCCAGCCCAGCTCCGTGGATTCCTCCCTTGTCTCCCGGCTTCTGCTGGCAAAGACAAACCACCAGCATCCAGGAGGGCTTCCTAACAGCCTCATTTGTAGGGCCCTGCTAATTAGCAAACGGCAGGCAGCTGCCTGAGCCAGCATCCTCCCTCCGCCTCCCCCAGCTGCCCTCGGGGGCCGCCCTGAAGCATTTTGGGGTGTCATTTCCATCTCTGGATCCAACTTTGTCTCCTTTTCCCCCGCTCTTACCCAACTCCCAGTCGGGAGCCGCAATCACAGCGCTGCCTTCGTTAGTGGGTCCCAATTAAAAGGTGAAGCTGGAAGATTCCCCCCCCCTCCCAACCCCGGGTGCTGCCCCATGCAAACCCAACCCATGTTTTGCCACCCTAGGGGGGGTGTTTGATTTGCTGGGGGGGGGCTTGGTGGCACCTGACCCATGCCATGATGGCCATAGGGTCCTGGTGGCCCCCTTCACATGAGATCCCACAGATTTGGGGGGGCAAAGCTGTTCAGAGAGAGCCCTCAAAACACCAAATTCATCACCCCAGTGATGAACACCCCCCCCATGGAGATCTACCAGGGACGGGGGGGTGGGGAGGGGTTGGATAAGACATCTGTAAAGTGAGTAGTTGTTATGATGTATGATTTATAAGCAGATCTGCCTTGAAAAACAGCACGAGAGGGGAGAAGGTCGCCTGAGCAGAGAGAGAGGTTGGAGCTGACGGGTGGTTGGAGCATGAACTGGGGGGAAAATCCTCCCCCTGCTCCTCACGGAGCCCTGTTCGGAATAAAACCAGGGAGAAAGGAGGGGAAGACAAGTCCTTGGGGGCTTCACACCCTCCCCAGGGGTGGGACAGGGCAGAAAGTGCCATTTCACAGCAGGAACCCCCCCAAAAACCCAGAGGGTGCTTACGGGGTCGGGTGGGGAGGGGTTGGATAAGACATCTGTAAAGTGAGTAGTTGTTATGATGTATGATTTATAAGCAGATCTGCCTTGAAAAACAGCACGAGAGGGGAGAAGGTCGCCTGAGCAGAGAGAGAGGTTGGAGCTGACGGGTGGTTGGAGCATGAACTGGGGGGAAAATCCTCCCCCTGCTCCTCACGGAGCCCTGTTCGGAATAAAACCAGGGAGAAAGGAGGGGAAGACAAGTCCTTGGGGGCTTCACACCCTCCCCAGGGGTGGGACAGGGTAAAAATTGCCATTTCACAGCAGGAACTGCCCCCCACTCCAGCCGAGGGCTGAGGATGGAGCCAGCTCATGACACTGATGTCAGAGGAAAAGGGGAAAAAGATGCTGGAAGAGGCTGGGGGGCAGGTGGGTCTCTTTATTCCTTGCCCAGATTAGTTGGGAGAGGGTGCTTACGGGGTCCCTCCAGCCGAGGGCTGAGGATGGAGCCAACTCATGACACTGATGTCAGGTTGGAGCATGAACTGGTGCTGCACTGGGGGGGAAAAAAAATCCTCCCCCTGCTCCTCACGGAGCCCTGTTTGGAATAAAACCAGGGAGAAGGGAGGGGAAGACAAGTCCTTGGGGGCTTCACACCCTCCCCAGGGGTGGGACAGGGTAAAAATTGCCATTTCACAGCAGGAACTGCCCCCCACTCCAGCCGAGGGCTGAGGATGGAGCCAGCTCATGACACTGATGTCAGAGGAAAAGGGGAAAAAGATGCTGGAAGAGGCTGGGGGGCAGGTGGGTCTCTTTATTCCTTGCCCAGATTAGTTGGGGCAGTTTTAGTTGGAGCATGAACTGGTGCTGCACTGGGGGGGAAAAAAAAATCCTCCTCCCAAGAGAGAGCCCTCAAAACACCAAATTCATCACCCCAGTGATGAACACCCCCCCCATGGAGATCTACCAGGGACGGGGGGGTGGGGAGGGGTTGGATAAGACATCTGTAAAGTGAGTAGTTGTTATGATGTATGATTTATAAGCAGATCTGCCTTGAAAAACAGCACGAGAGGGGAGAAGGTCGCCTGAGCAGAGAGAGAGGTTGGAGCTGACGGGTGGTTGGAGCATGAACTGGGGGGAAAATCCTCCCCCTGCTCCTCACGGAGCCCTGTTCGGAATAAAACCAGGGAGAAAGGAGGGGAAGACAAGTCCTTGGGGGCTTCACACCCTCCCCAGGGGTGGGACAGGGCAGAAAGTGCCATTTCACAGCAGGAACCCCCCCAAAAACCCAGAGGGTGCTTACGGGGTCCCTCCAGCCGAGGGCTGAGGATGGAGCCAACTCATGACACTGATGTCAGAGGGGAAAAAGATGCTGGAAGAGGCTGGGGGGCAGGTGTCTCTCTTTATTCCTTGCCCGGATTAGTTGGGGCAGTTTTAGTTGGAGCATGAACTGGTGCTGCACTGGGGGGGAAAAAAAAATCCTCCTCCCACTCCTCACGGAGCCCTGTTCGGAATAAAACCAGGGAGAAAGGAGGGGAAGACAAGTCCTTGGGGGCTTCACACCCTCCCCAGGGGTGGGACAGGGTAAAAATTGCCATTTCACAGCAGGAACTGCCCCCCACTCCAGCCGAGGGCTGAGGATGGAGCCAGCTCATGACACTGATGTCAGAGGAAAAGGGGAAAAAGATGCTGGAAGAGGCTGGGGGGCAGGTGGGTCTCTTTATTCCTTGCCCAGATTAGTTGGGGCAGTTTTAGTTGGAGCATGAACTGGTGCTGCACTGGGGGGGAAAAAAAATCCTCCCCCTGCTCCTCACGGAGCCCTGTTTGGAATAAAACCAGGGAGAAGGGAGGGGAAGACAAGTCCTTGGGGGCTTCACACCCTCCCCAGGAATGGGACAGGGTAAAAATTGCCATTTCACAGCAGGAACTGCCCCCCACTTGAAAAACAGCACGAGAGGGGAGAAGGTCACCCAAACGGAGGGAGAGGTTGGAGCTGACGGGTGGTTGGAGCATGAACTGGGGGGGGAAATCCTCCCCCTGCTCCTCACGGAGTCCTGTTCGGAATAAAACCAGGGAGAAAGGAGGGGAAGACAAGTCCTTGGGGGCTTCACACCCTCCCCAGGAATGGGACAGGGTAAAAATTGCCATTTCACAGCAGGAAAACCCCCCACTCCAGCCGAGGGCTGAGGATGGAGCCAGCTCATGACACTGATGTCAGAGGAAAAGGGGAAAAAGATGCTGGAAGAGGCTGGGGGGCAGGTGGGTCTCTTTATTCCTTGCCCAGATTAGTTGGGGCAGTTTTGGTTGAAGCATGAACTGGTGCTGCACTTTGGGGCTGACGGGTGGTTGGAGCATGAACTGGGGGGGGAAATCCTCCCCCTGCTCCTCACGGAGTCCTGTTCGGAATAAAACCAGGGAGAAAGGAGGGGAAGACAAGTCCTTGGGGGCTTCACACCCTCCCCAGGAATGGGACAGGGTAAAAATTGCCATTTCACAGCAGGAAAACCCCCCACTCCAGCCGAGGGCTGAGGATGGAGCCAGCTCATGACACTGATGTCAGAGGAAAAGGGGAAAAAGATGCTGGAAGAGGCTGGGGGGCAGGTGGGTCTCTTTATTCCTTGCCCAGATTAGTTGGGGCAGTTTTAGTTGGAGCATGAACTGGTGCTGCACTGGGGGGGAAAAAAAATCCTCCCCCTGCTCCTCACGGAGCCCTGTTTGGAATAAAACCAGGGAGAAGGGAGGGGAAGACAAGTCCTTGGGGGCTTCACACCCTCCCCAGGAATGGGACAGGGTAAAAATTGCCATTTCACAGCAGGAACTGCCCCCCACTCCAGCCGAGGGCTGAGGATGGAGCCAGCTCATGACACTGATGTCAGAGGAAAAGGGGAAAAAGATGCTGGAAGAGGCTGGGGCTCTCTTTTTTCTTTGCCTGGATTAGTTGGGGCAGTTTTTTGGGGGGTTATGGGGGGGTGGATGTGCTGAGGACTCTGAGCTCCATGAATGGCCACCAGCCAGCGTGGTGGCTCCTCGGCACAAGCCGGGGAATTTGGGCAAAGTGGTGGCTTATTCCCTAATCCTCCGGAGCGTCGCTCCTGCCCTGCCCGGGACCTGCAGGGACCTGGATGCATTTTAATAGAGCCGACGTTTTGAAAGCCCAGGGTTTCTGGGGAGCTCATTAATAAAGCAGGAGCATGAAAATTTCATGAGGCGAGGAGGAAACGGGGGCCGAGGAGGCAGGGAGGGGACGGCGCGGTGTCACCAGCTGCCCCCCCGCTGCAGGACGGGGTCAGAGGAGGAGGAGGAGGAGGAGGAAGAGGGCGATGGGGAAGGCAGAGCTTGGGGGTCTGATGCCCACCCTGTGGCATTTGGTGCCCACGTGGGCAGAAATGCAACGTGGGGCTGGTTTCCCAATAGGACCCTCATCCTTCTGGGGATGGATTCCAGCAGAGCATCCTCATCCTCAGCCTGGGATGCTTTTGGTCCTCGGTGCAGGACAGGGTCAGAGGAGGAGGAGGAAGAGGAAGAGGGCGATGGGGAAGGCAGAGCCTGGGGGTCTTGATGCCCACCCTGTGGCATTTGGTGCCCATGTGGGCAGAAATGCAACGTGGGGCTGGTTTCCCAACGGGACCTTCATCCTTCTGGGGATGGATTCCAGCAGAGCATCCTCATCCTCAGCCTGGGATGCTTTTGGTCCTCGGTGCAGGACAGGGTCAGAGGAGGAGGAGGAAGAGGGCGATGGGGAAGGCAGAGCCTGGGGGTCTTGATGCCCACCCTGTTGCATTTTGGTGCCCACGTGGGCAGAAATGCAACGTGGGGCTGGTTTCCCAACGGGACCTTCATCCTTCTGGGGATGGATTCCAGCAGAGCATCCTCATCCTCAGCCTGGGATGCTTTTGGTCCTCGGTGCAGGACAGGGTCAGAGGAGGAGGAGGAAGAGGGCGATGGGGAAGGCAGAGCCTGGGGGTCTTGATGCCCACCCTGTTGCATTTTGGTGCCCACGTGGGCAGAAATGCAACGTGGGGCTGGTTTCCCAACGGGACCTTCATCCTTCTGGGGATGGATTCCAGCAGAGCATCCTCATCCTCAGCCCGAGATGCTTTTGGTCCAAGGTGGGGGGGTCCAGGAGGGCAAAGCCCCACCCCATGGAGGGCACGAGCAATGAGAGCATCTCCTGGCCCTTCTTTGGAGAAAGCCAAAGTAATCCCCCCCACCATCCCCCCAGGCAATTAGCAGCTCAGCCTCCGCCTTGTTAATGAGACACAACACTAACAGCTCATCTGCTTCAAGCCCTTGGGCTCCAGGTCAGGGCTGGGGGGGTCTGGGGGGGCAGCCACTCGCCGCTCCCACCCCCCCAGCCCCACACAAAGGGGTCAGAGAAGGGGTGGAAGAAGCATCGAGGCCACCCCGGCACAGAAAAACAGCCAACCCCCCCTTCCCCCAGCCCCAAAAATTGCCAGACGGGCTTCCTTCTCCTCTGGCTTCGCTTTTAGGAATAAATCAACCAAATGAGCGTTTAATCCACCCCACCCCCCCACTCCAGACACTTCACTTTTCATACTTTCCAGCCCCTAAAATATTTCCTTGACGCTAATATAATCCAAAAAGGCGTGTGGGGAGACGGGGGGGGGGTGGCATCGTCATCCCAAACTGATGCTAAGCTCCCCAGGGGGGAGCCTGGAAAATTCCCTTCTGGAGCTAAAAAACTCGGCGGGTGACGGCAACCAGGGGGTACAACGTCATAGCCCCCCCCCGAAATGTCCCCAAGTGAGACGGGGTGGCTTCAGGCAGGGCTGTGAACCCCTTGGAGTGGGGGGGTCACCACCCCCCACCCTCTGCCCATGGGGTCTGGGGACACAGGGACCCCCCCCAAACCCCCGTGGTGGTGGGGGTGGTTTTTGGGGAGAGGGTTAAGAGGAAGGAGAAGG